GAGGCAGATTTTAATGAAAGATTACATATTTTTGGCAGGAGATCCACAAGTTCACATCTGAGTTCTTTCAGAACTCTGGGATGTATGCCATCTGGGCCTGGTGATTTATCAGTTTTTAAGTTGTCTATCAGTGTTAGGACCTCCTCTCTTGTCACCTCAATCTGACTCAGGTCTCTCAACACTGCTCCCGAAATCAGTGGTTCTGGAGTAGGCAAGCACTTCTCATCTTCCACAGTGAAGACAGAGGCAAAAAATGCATTTAGCTTCTCAGCCATTTCCCTATCATCCTTAATTACTTATTTTACCCCTTGGTCATCCAAGGGGCCCCACTGCCTCCCTGGCTGGTTTCCTACTTCTAATGTATTTGAAGAAAGTTTTATTGTTGGTCTTTATATTTTTTTGCTATATGCTCCTCATATTCCCTTTTTGCTTGCCTGATCACAGACTTGCATTTTATTTGCCACAGCCTGTGTTCTCTTTTATCAACCTCACTGAGACTAGCTTTCCACCGCTTAAAGGAATCCTTCTTACCTTTTACAGCTTCCATTACTTTGTTAGCTAACCATGCAGGCTTTTCCCTATACCTATTTGTGCCTTTCCAAACCTGCGGTATATATTTTTTCTGAGCCTCTAGGATTGTAGTTTTAAATATTCTCCAAGCTTCCCCAATGGTTTTGACCCTTTCTACTTTTCCTTTCAGTTTCTTCTTCACATGTCCCCTCATATCAGAGAAGTTACCCCTTTTAAAGTTAAAAGTGGTTGTGTCAGTCTTTTTGGACAGCTAGAAAGGTACTCCACATGTTTCCAGGTGGTTGGTCTTCAGGGCTTTTGTTAAGTTCCAGCAGCTGGGCTTAATGAATAGCAACAATAACAATAATAATTGTAAGAAATGGCAGACAGACTATTCTTTGGCATGGCAGCTTTATCAAAGCTTTGTATTTTGGAACATTTCCAGTCACTCCTTTCATAAAGTTTCCAATGTATTTCTCTTACTTTTCTGTTTTATGTCGACTCCCTGTTCCTTCTATAGTATTCTTGTGGAAATTTTATTCATTTGGGTTAAAACTCCAGGATATTTAAAAAGACTGCCAACTCGGGCTGAATCTGTGACAATCTGCAACTGGTTGCTATTTCTTTAGTTAGGTGTCTGTCCTTTATCCACTCCATAAAAATAGCCATGTACAATCATTAGTTGTTAATCTTGCTTAGATTTCTTTTTCTCAGCCTCACAAATAGGTTATTGGAAGTTTTGATATGGCTGTGGACAGGCAGGATCTGTTCCTGATTTGTAGCTCTTCCTGTTGTCACCAAGACAATGGCTTTTGTCACCAAGACAATGGCTTTTGGTATGAGAGAACCCAAAGTCAGGTGTCAAGGAGATTCCAGCTGAGATTGTCTGAGCAGAAGCCATAGCTGGTTAGGCTTTGAATAAAGATGATAGATGTTCAGGCAGCAGGAGTTCTGTATGAGCAAGAGCGTTTCAGTATGATTAAAATGTTTTCTGCTTTCAGACAACTAAAAATCAATGGTGAAGCCGCACTCTGCAGTTATTAAAAAAGCTGCCACAATAGCCTTGTTTCCCATGCTTTAAAATACCCGACTTCTTCTAGTTTAAAGACTTTTAATACCTGCGCTATTGTTGACAGTGATACCATTTCCTGGTTCTTAAAATCAGTTGGTTCTGGTGCTTTATGGTAAGTGAATTTCTGTCATTACAAGTGCAGTGGTTACCAGTTTAGCAATGAATAACCACAAACAGGACTTGTGTGATGAATATACAGATCATTCCCAGAAGGTCTGCTGAGTCATGACTCATGATCATTAATGGGTTATGGGAACACTATGGATGAACTGTCAAGTTGTTGGTGGGTGCTAGTGACAATGCAATATAGGACGCTGATGATTTCATAATAACCAGGTGATCTTAGTGAAAAAGAAAAGAAATTGAACATTCATTACATGATGGTTTGAGAGCTAGATCAGTCGCTTACATAACAGATCTGGCTTAGCAACTGCTTTGAGTACTGTTAATATTTTAAAATCAAGTTCCTGCATTATCAAACCTAGTTCTGAGGCACTCCTGCTTAAAGACCATTCTGTCCCAAGCTACCCTCAATGATTGTGCTCTCTAGTTTTGTTAATACATATCTCCCTCTGCTGGTGGCAAAAATAGTATAACTTCATCTATGTACAAATCGTTTCATATCATGCATGCTGGGTCCATAGCGGAAGAAAGTTGATTTCAGTCATTCATCCCAACAAGTAAATTTGACAGGGATTTGTTTAAAATAAATTAATCTTTTTGGAAGAACAGAGTAGGATTAAAGATTGTAGAAGTCCTATGTCGGTCTGTATTTTGAACCCTACATATCTCGCATAGGTTCAGCCCCAAAGAGCATTACTCATTCCCCTCCAACATTATTTTTGTCCCCAAAACCTAAACTATGTTGGTTAGATTTATTGTACTTTTTTCTTCAATGGATGAGAGTCTCTGCTCCACTGTATTCTGTTGAAGGAGTAGTACAGGGATGGATTGGCCATAAATCTCACTGGGAAATCTCAATGAGAGAGAAGCTGAAACCTCTGAACTCTCTCATTACCCATTATGTGTAGCAATCTAATCCATTCTACTTCCTTCCACAGAGAATCACAATTTAAAAACGTATGATGGGATTCACATCAAGCTTCTCTTTGCCCCCAACTCCTCCTTTCCCCCTCCCCTTCTGTAATCACATCATCATATCTATATATCTGTTTCTCAAGTGTGACCCCCAGATATCTAAATCTGCAGATCGAGGTGACACTGACACTAAACAGATTTTTCTGCAGACATGGGGGGGCATCAGGTTTGGAGAAAAATCTGACATCTTTAAAAAATACATGGAGGTTTAACTTCCCCCCTAAATAAAAAAGAGAAGGGGTAAGCTGACAGAGAAGGGAAGGGGGAGATTGATAGAGAAAGGGTGGGGAACAAAAAGGAGAAGGGTAGGTTGACAGAAGGGGAGGAGGAAGAAAGAGGGGGGAGTTTGTTAGAGAAGGAGGGGAGGGAAAGAAGCAAAAGGTGGGGAAAGGATGCACCCTCATGCAAGTTTTTTGCACGTCTCAGTTGTAATATTATAATAGCAAAATCTGCCAAATCTGAGGATATTTAAATCTGGAGATTAGATATATGAAGAAACAAGATGCATCTTTCCACAAACCTGAAAACTGCCCAGGTTTGCTGAAAAATCTGAACTCTAAAAAATTGGACTGTAAACCCCCCAAATGATAAAAGGAGTGACTATAGCCTTAAAAAACAGATACTGCCTCAGTGGCTGTTGCTAGGTAACCACAAAAGGCTTGCTCTGTGTTACTAAAAGGGCAGGGGAGGAGACAGGGCCCTTTTCAGGATTATTTTGGCCTTTAAGGGAGGACTCATTAGGGCGACTTGATACCACATGACTTGCATGACTCCCCTCATGTTCAGCAGCAGCCACTTTACGAAAGCTAATGTGGTGTACTGGTTAGAGTTTGATACTAGGACTTTGAATCCCCATTTCGCCCTGGAAACTCACTGGGGGGACCTTAGGCCAGTTACACATTTTCAGCCTAATTTACCTCACAGGCAGGGCCAGGATTGACCATTAAGAGCACCTGGACACCTCCTGGTGGGCCAATGATCTCCCTCTCAAGCTAGGCCAGCCAACTGTCTCACAGAAGGCCTAAAGGCAGGAGAAGAGGTGGCCCGCTATCTGGGGAAGCACAGCCTGGCTCAGCCAAGCCCCATGCAAGCCCCAAGGTGAGGCAGATGGGGGCACCCAGCCAAGCCTTGTATGAAGCAAGGCTGAGCCTTGTGTGTGGTGAAAAATGTCTGCTTTGGAGGTTGGGAGTCTGTGGCATTACAATCTGCTGAGATCCCTCCCCAAACCTCACCCTTCCTGGGCTTCTCCCCCAAATCTTCAGGATCTTCAGAAACAAAAGGCTGCTCCTCGCCTGAGGCTCTTGCCTTGTTGCTCTTAGCCCGTAGGTCATAGTCTGTGGGTCTTACTTGGAGGCCTTGTAAGAACCTGTGTAGAGGGCTGCTACTGAGTTCTGGGAGAGAACTGCTGGCAAGGTAGCCATTTGGTCAGTCTCAAAGTTTTCAGGGTACATCACCACAACAAGAGTTTATGTCAGAGTTTGAGGAAAGTTCCTGAGGCTGTAGAAGATAGCATTGCTCCAAGGAAGATGGATAACAAAGGATCTATTCCAGTGACCTGCGTGCGTTGCGCCATGATCATGTTTCTGCCATGCCGTGAAATGCATTATGCATGCTGCAAGTGCAAGCTTATAAGAATGCTTGAGGAGAAGGTGGGAGAACTCAAGGCACAAATCTGTACACTGAGGAACATCAGGGAGGCAGAAAGCGTTTTAGATGTGAAGGAAGAGGGGCTCCTGAGAGAACGGCAAGAGCTACCAAATCCTGAGCAAGAGGAAGGAAGTAACAAGGAACAGGTGGGTGAGTGGAAGAATGTGACCTTGAGGAGTAAGATAATCAGGAAACACAGCCAGTGGAGCTGCAAAATTGATACCAGCACCAGTCTGGCCACAAGTAGCCATTTGTGTGGGAAAGGCATGCTCTCTTGCTTTGAGGAGCTTTGCCTTGGGGCTAGGTAGATCTGGCTGTCTTTAGAGAAGCTCCAAGGCTGGCTGGGCAAGGGTGGAGCTTAGAGGGAGAGCCCACTAGTCCTCTGAAGCAGAGGGCACTTGTTCACCCTGCCAGCTTGCTCTACAGCCTCTAGCAGAGTCCCTGCCTGGCCATTCCCCAGCCTGCTCCCATTCCCCATGATGAGCCAGGAGAGGCAGAGAGCAAACCCAATGATGTCAGCTAGCGTTGACAGGTGAAACTGATGGCATCTCTGTGCATGTATGTACACACACATACACTCACACAGAGGTGCAAAGCTTGTGGTATAACCAGGGGTCATTTCCTGCGGGAACGCACAGGACCAGAACTCCAGCAGTAAGGAGCCCAGGGGGTGGGCACATGCAACAAGCCCTGCCCCCTGCTCTCAGCAGCCCTCAGTCGGGCCACAAGGAGCAAGAAGCAGCCAGGCAAGTTGCAGAGTTTTTTTTTCGGCGACTAACACACCCCCCTCGTGTGGGGCAGATCTGCGTGTCCCCCCCCCCCCCCATAGCTAGCAATCCAAAACAGTCCAGTGGCACCTTTAAGACCAAGTTTTATTCAGGTACAAGCTCCCCCTCCTCTGTGAGGGCAGATCTGCACATTCCCCCCTCCCCAATAACTAGGAATCCAAAACAGTCCAGTGCAGTGGGTGTTGCCTTCTGACACACTTCAGGTGATGTCAGGGGGTGTGGCATATGCAAATAAGTTATGCTAATAAGTTATGCTAATGAGCTCCTGCACCTCTTTTTCTATGAAATGACCCCTGGGTATAACAATAAGTAAATGTTGCACAATGGGACAGGAGGAGGAAGCTCAGTCAGTGCAGGGGGTGGCCAGAGTGAGCACTCATAGTACATGCATGGTAAGAAAGGAAGAATTACAATATTAGTGTGGGGGGCATTTTTTGGGTGAGTATTTGTGTGTGTGTATGTGTGTGTGCTTCCAAGCCTGGAAGTCATGGTGATTTCTGATGACCCCTAGTGGGGCTAGGATATTTTCTGAGAGGTGACTTGATAACCTGCCTCTGCGTCCCTGGCCCTGGTATTCCTTGGAAGTCACCCTTTCAAGTACTTGTAGGGTTGCCAGTGTCATGAGTGACAACGACAGTGCTGAGTCCCTGCCTGAGTTGGCATCGCAGCCAGAGGCCCCTCTGACTCCTCACAAGTTGATAGTTTGCCAGCACCTCAGCCTGTAAACCCCGCACCTGGTTCTGCAGCACCCGAGGAGGCACAGGTGCAATCGGGGAGCCCGCCTGACTCACCTCCGCGGGTGGTTCAGCTAAGGGAGCAGCTCTACAGAGACTTAGCCACCCACTATCGAGATGCACGCTGGCAGGGAAGGCAAGTGCCGAGTCCTGAGTGTTAGCAGGAGCAGTGCCACTGCCATGGGAAGCCCGGCTGGAGGCCTATAGAACTCCCACTCAGGATTGGGCTCTTGTGGAAGGAACAAATCACCTCTGTGTGTGTCTCACATCCACCCTCGGCTTCTGTTCCTGGACCCCTAACTCTGGCTCGGATTCCTGGTTTCCTGACCTCTGCTTCGGACGACCCCTCTTTCGGACTCACGATTTGTCTCTCACTCTTGGACTTGGGCCTCTCAGCCCAAGCCCAGCCCGTGACAGCCAGGTCCTTACCTTGCGCTGGTGGGGTGTGGGAGGGACCTTTCCAGGAGTGGGTGAATGGGCATCATTGCTACGTATGACTTCCCTGACATGATGACGTCAGGGACATCGTGCTGCAACACTTTGGTTTTTTGGGCAAACTCTAAGGTAAAATTGGTGTAAAACAATAGTTTTGCCCCAAAACCAGAGCATCGTCACACAACGTCCCCGGCCTGATGACATCACTTCCGTGTGACGTTAACACACTGGGGACATAGCTGTTGGGGTGGGGCTTTCTCCACTGGCCAACTGGCCAGGGGCGGGCAGGAGCCAACAAAATTGGGGATCCCCCGCTCCCACCTGGGGACTGGCAACCCCAAGTACTTGCCAGTGTTGGCCCTGCTTACCTTCCAAGATCTGATGATATTGGGCTTGCCTGGGCTATCCAGGTTAGGGCAGGAGGAGCATCATTGACTCCAACTGTGCCCCGGTCTTGAGTTTGTCTTCAGCATCAAAATCATGTGATGGGTGACATACTATTAGACAAAGTTGTTTCTGAATGTATGCAGAGCACTTTCTGTCAGCACTGAGTAACTGCAGCCAGGGCAGAGAGTACACTTGCATGGCAGGAAAGGAAGGGTTATATTTTTAACTGGGAAGTGGGCTTAATTTGTGCCTGGCCCTTGAATTTGTCTTTAGCCTCAGAGTCCTTAATGAAAACTGGGGTCCTTCTGGCTTTTTAATGAAGTAAAATACACAGATTTTCTGTCTAGCCTGCAAATTAGCTTGAATGTGTCTAGTCTTGATACCTTTTTTGATAGGTAAAATGGCTGATTATGTGTACACAAGCTATATAAAAATAAGCATAGCCACATAAGCCAATGTGGTGTAGTGGGTAAGATGGTGGACTGTAATCTGGAGAACCAGGTTTGATTCCCCACTTCTCTTCCACAGGCAGCCTGCTGGGTGACCTTGGGCCAGTCACAGTTCTCTCTGAACTCTCTCAGCCCCACCTACCTCACAAGGTGCCTGTTGTGGGGAGGGGAAGGGAAGGCAATTGTAAGCTGCTTTGAGACTCCTTAAGGTAGAGAAAAGTGGGGTATAAAAACCAACTCTTCTAAGCGGCTTGAGGATTGTGTTTCCGCCAACTGGCATCTGATTTTGTTTCTGTGTATGTGTGGCCTTTATACACATGAAGCTGCCTTATACTGAATCAGACTATTGGTCCACCAATGTCAGTATTGTCTACTCAGACTGACAGCAGCTCTTCAGGGTCAGGCTGAGGTCTTTCACATCACCTGGTCCTTTTACCTGGAGGTGCTAAGGATTGAACCTGGGACCTTCTGTATGCAAAGCAGAGGCTCTTCCACTGAGCCACAGTTTCTCCCTGAAAAACCTTGTGGGGCTGTCCCTTTAAGGAAGGGGGCAGAGCCCCCACTGTAGCTACAGGCCAGGTGAACAAAACCACCTTACCGTGCAAAGTTATATTAGCTGAATATTCTCTTATATATGAATGCTGATGCAAGTATGGTTCCTTCTTGCTAGTTCTCTATCTGAATTGGCTCTCCTCTGAACTGTGACTGCCATCTCCTCCCATTGCTGTATGTGGCAGCTAACAGTACTGGTCCCAAGCAGAGTTACAACCTTCTAAGTCAAAAGAGGTCAGTGGGCTTTTGAAAAAGTAACTGCTTAGAATTTCTCTCTAAGCATCCACAATCAGGGAATGACACCAGTTGCCTGGGGCCACCGGGGCTGGGCCAGCCTGAGCCACAGGTGCCACTGTTGCTGGCTTCTCTGACATCACGGTGGGTGGTGGCAGCTTCAGGGCAGGGCAATCAACTGTAGGGTTGTGAAGGTCCACCTCCTCCAGCCAACCCCACAGCTGATTATCGTGACTCCTTCTCTGAAACTACCACCTGCTGTAACTCCAGAGACAGCAGAAAGACAGGCAGCAGCATCACCATGGTAGCTGGGTAACTGGTGGCCCTCTAGTAGGGCTCCCCCCATTGGGGTACCTGGGGCAGCTACCTTGTGGTTAAGACTGCCATGATTGCAGAAGAACTCCAGGCCCTACCTTGAGCCTGGTAATTCTACACAGAAAATCGAGCAGTTGAGAAATGGTTAAAAGAAGAAAAGAGAGGAAAATGGGGAGATTGGCCTGCCCGAACATCTGAGAGCTTAGGGGAGATTTGGAGGATGGGGGGAATTTCCAGATCAGTCCCCCCCCAACACATACACAATTCTGTGGGCCTGCTTGTTGCTGGTGTTATTATCCCATGATTTTTTAAATTGTTTGTTGCTAGAATCAGCTACGTGCAGTTTAGTGCACAGATCCTTTATTTGAAGGCTCCATCAGCATATTCCTCGTAATAATGTGTGGGTGGGGTGCAGAGTTTAGGATTAACTCACAGCAGCTTAGATCATTTTTAAGTGAAATTGGATCTCTTGCCTCATACAGTGTCTGATAAAGTAGATTTGAAAAGAAGGGACAAGCCCCCTGTTGCCTCTGCGCACTGCTACACCGAGAGTGGGTGTTTGTAAATGTGCATGGAATGCTCTGCAAGGAGGAGGTGGAGCCGGGAGGCTGGGTGTCAGCAACAACAGCTGTTGTGGTAAAGGGGCTGCTTCCTATGCAGCCAAATAGGGCAGCACACCGTTTCTGTTTGACACCAGTAGGTGGTGCTGTTGCCTATGAGAAGGATTTGCATGGCCGTGGGGAATACAGATTTCCCATTGGTACATCAAACCATTGCTGAGTGACTGGAGCATCTGCCTTGTCTGGGGAGGGTGGCGCTATACCGACCTCAGCGATGGAAGTAGGAGTGCTCCAAAGGGTGCATTTTCATTATCTCAGTAATCTCCTCTTTAGTGACCTGCTAGACTTTACTGGAAAAGAGTGACAGAAGGGGATTACTCAGACGGAATCACCCATCTCGCTGGGCACTGGGCAGCCGCAGAAGAAGGCAGGAAATGATTGGTTTTTCATCGGCAGGCCTTAATCCCTGCTTGCTGTTATTCAGGCAGGGTGGTTTTCAGGCACTGTCAGATTAAAGCAGCATGAGGGTTGTAGTCTTTCTATATGGCTGCAATAGTATTCTCCCTTCCAATCCTCTGTGTTTCTAAGAGCACAGCTGAAACAGGATTCGTACATGGTGCCACAGGACAGAGGGACAGCCGGGTCACCTGGGATTACACAGCCTGCCTGGTTCCACGAGATGGTTCATACCC